TATTTTCCACTAAAGCTTGATTAAATAAAGATTTCAAATTGTTAAAGTTTAAATATCTATACATGTGGTGTCATAAGTAATCATTATCATCTAAGGAGACTGCAAGTACTTGATCTTTGCACTCCAAAGAGATAGGAAATAAGCCCACAAACCAAACACCAAAATAAGAGATCAATGAGACATGTCCAATAGGCTCACTAGAAGCCATAAGGGTCTTGTGCTGGAACTATCGGGGGCTTGGCAACCCTCACGCAATTATTTTACTTCACAAGCTCGTGAAGAAATTTAAGTCAAATGTGATTTTATTCATAAAAACACTAGTTAATAAGAGTATACTGGAAAGAATCAAAGTTAGGTTGGGTTTTGAAAATATGTTTAGGGTGGACAGAGTTAGAAGAGGTGGCGGATTAGGGATGTTTTGGTCGAATGCTTGCAAACTAATGAACCTATCATTTTCATGCAACCACATGGATGCGAAAATACAATAAGATACCGGGGATGAATAGATGCTGACATACTACTATGGTATGCCGCAGCAGTCATGAAGGAGGCAACTTGTACGCCTATGTTTCAGATCACTCCCCGATTTTATTGTTTTATGGCTTCAACTCAAGTAGCCAATCTATAAGAAAATTTAAATATGAAAATGCATGATTGTTAGACCTGACAATTAAAGAGGTGAAGAGAAAGGAATGGGGATAGAGTCCCACTTTTGGTATTATGCAGAAACTCACTACTTGTGGCATGAACTTATAAGCTTGGTGACAATCTCTGATTGTCAATATTTCTAACTGAAAATGAAATTTGTATGAGCAACTTGTTTGTGAACAAATAAGTATACCACATCTTAATACTTATCGGTTAAACAATATAAATGATGAATACATTCAATTATTGGAACAAGAGGACTACTATCAGAGGCAATGAGCTAAATCATTTTGGTTAACACATGATGATAGAAATTCTAAATTTTTTCATCGACAAGCATCCAAACGTCAATGTCAAAACTCTATTGTTGCTCTTCGGGACATGAATTGTGATTGGATCAGGGACGAACCCACCATGCAGAAACATGTGCTTGAGTATTTTTAAGAGTTTTTTCTACATCCGAGGGAGATTGGAACCATGTTGTCGATATAGTATCCTCCAAAGTATCTAGAATGGACAACGAAAAGTTGTTTACAACCACTGAGTGTATAGGAGATCAAGCAAGAAACATTACAAATGCATCCTGATAAAGCCCTATGACTCGATGGGATGAAACCTATCTTTTACCAAAAATTTCAGAATACCGTTGGGCAAGATGTTGTGCAGCATTGCCAAAATTGGTTTAAAAATAATGAATTTCCAGATCAAGTTAACAGAACTACAATTGTGTTTATATTGAAGAAGGCATGCCCAAAAACTGTTAAAGATCTTCGACCCATCTCACTATGCAATGTCATCTATAAAATTTATTTTAAAACACTTGCAAATAGACGTAGAGAGATTTTACCAAGTCTCATCATTGAGGAACAATCCGTCTTTATTCTAGGGCAGAGTTTGATAGATAATATTTTATTGGCCTTCGAAACCATTCGCAAAATGAAGAGTGTAAGTAGGCAGATGATAGCTGAGATGGCCATCAAGATAGATATTAATAAAGCTTATGACAGAATGTGGTGGGAATTTCTTACTGCCACACTTACTAAACTCGACTTTGATAGGAAATGGCTGCAACTGATGTTGAAGTATGTTCAATCGATTACTTACATGGTAAATCTTAACGGAAAAAAGATTAGACCCATTATGCCCCAAAGAGGATTGAGGCAGGGCGATCCATTATCACTATACATTCTATGTGCGAAGGGCTTATCTTCTTATTTCAACGGGCATAAACCACGGGTGCAATTCATGGGGTGCGCATTTACTGGAGTAGTCTTGCTATAACACATCTCTTATTTGCCGACGACTCTTTCTTTTTCTTTCAGGTAAACGTTGATGAGTGTTCTACAATGAAACAACTTCTCCATAGCTATGAGGTTGCTTCATGTCAAATAATTAATTTTCTAAAGTCAGGAACTTTCTTTAGTGGTAATACTCCGATCGAACTAAAGAATTGTCTTTAAAATATAATGGGGATATCCAACCCGATTGATCATGGTCGTTATCTTAGGCTATGTCTCTTACTGATAGAAGCAAGAGGTAGATATTTGGCTTCTTAAGGGAGTCTCCTTTTAGGAAACTAAATGGCTGGAACCAAAGAAACCTATCACAGGCGGGAAGAGAGATTTTGTTAAAATCAGTAGCCCAGCCGTTACCCACATTTTGCATGAGTGTTTTCCATATTCTCATATCTCTATATGCTAAGTTACAGAGGATGAATAATTTTTGGTGGGGTTCAAAAAGAGATAACAGAAGTATGTGTTGCATGTCTTGTAAAAATTTATGAAAGAAGGAGTTGGGTGGGATGGAATTTTGATGTCTGTACGATTTTAGCATTGTTATATTGGGCAAACAGTTATGGAAAATGCTAACTTTTTCGGATACATTAGTGTCAAGAGTGTTCAAAGCAAACTACTTTCCCAACAAGGACATTATCACATCAAGATTGGGCACTTATCTTAGCTTTTGTTAGAGAAGCATTTTTGCAGCCAAAGATCTGGTGTTGCCTGGTTTAAGATGGGTTATCGGCACAAGGCAAAATGTGCGAGTCTGGAATGACCTATGACTGCCTAGGGAAAGGGACTTGATGGTTCGAAGCTTCTGCCCACATGGGCTGGGAAAATATAAACATGGGTGATGCGTTGATTGAGGATCAGGGATGATGGAACACAGACATTGTGAGAGGGTTGTTTGTTGAATAAGAAGCGGACCTTATCCTCAGCATTCCATAAGTTTGCGTCATAGAGAGGACAAGCCCATTTAGGCCACATCAGAGCAGGGATAATAGACAATAAAATTAGCTTATGGGATGTAGAAGTATGGAATGTAGAAGTCCCCCCAAAAGTCAAACAATTTATCTGGCATTTACTAACTAATACTTTGCCATCATAGTCCGATTGCAGGAAAGAGAGATGTCTATTACATCATGTTGCCCAAGAAGTGATCAGAGTGAGTCTTTACACCACATGTTCTTCAAATGTGACAGGGTCGTAGGTTGTTGGGACCACTAGGAGTTAACTATCTGCGAGCTGTGGACCAAGCTTGTGTCAGATGGGTAGCAGAGATTTACAAAAGCTTACATAAGGAAGAGTCAGTGGAGATCTTCTGTTGCCTGTGGGGGATTTGGTTTGAAAAGAATGATCTTTTGTGGAAGGATAAAATGTTCGCACACTAGACATCTATATACTTTATGCAGAGATTCATATCTGAATAGAAGAAGGCCAAAGAAGTCCAGCAGAAGGGATGGTTCAAGACATTATTCGAACTACTAATCTATCTAGGAGACCAGACCTGAGAATGGAAATATGGAAATGCAATATTGATGGTACTGTGTCCTCATCAACTAAGGAGGCATAGTATGGAGCGATAATCAGGAATCCATATGGGACTGTTATGAGCATCTTCACGGGGTAAATTCCAAGGTGCAGCTCACTTTATCTTGCGAAATTGCTAGGCTGCCAAAGAGCTCTATAATTCATACTGAAAAATGTACAGGGATCGAGAATGGTGGAAACAGATGGCTTGCTGGTCTACTGATGAAGACCACTCTGAGTTCGGATACATTATGGATGATTGCAGAACGTTGTTAAAGTCAAGATTGAATGTGTCTATACAATGGGTTAGAAGGCAAGATAATAAAGTGACACACTTGATTACTAGGGCCTCCTACTTTCATTTTCATTTTTATGTATGAGAGTGTATCCCTACTGATGTTCTTAACTTGTTTTAATGTTAAATGACAAGTTGCCATTTTTTTTATAAAAACAATCCAATCATCTAACGTGATTTATATTTACGCATATGCATTATTTTCATCATATATATATATATATATATAGAGAGAGAGAGAGAGAGAGATGATTATATAAATACATATAAAATTTAACATGATTACTGGATATTTTTTAATGGAAAATAAACTTATTGTGGGGTATTATAGTAATTTAGGCTTAATTGGAGGAGTTTATATAACAAGATTCCAAAATCCAGTGTGTTTCTTGGGCTTTTAGGTGATGGATTGAGCTGGGGCTGCTTGGTTGGACTTGTAAAAGATTAAGTTTGTTTGGAGAGGTTTATAATCTGTGAGTTTTATTATTTTGAAAATGAATTTTAACATATTAAGTTTACGATTTATACAGTGAAAAAATGGAAATTTAAAATAATAAAATTGTTAATTTTTTTAATTTTTCTCTTTTTTTTTTTAGTTTTAATATGTAACTTATTTAAAACTGAAAATGAAAACATAACCGAAAAAACTATTATGTATCATCGTATTGTGTTATTCTGTCGCGTCTTATAATTCTATATTAGTTAATTTTATACATTTATTTTATTTATATTTTATTACTATACTACGGTCAAATAATTTATTACATAGTTCTTTAAATTCAGTAGAAAACAAGTATAAATATCATATTAGAAATGTCAACAAAACATAACACGGGCAAAAAATACCTTATTATAATTTTAAAAAAATGTTAATACGGCACAAAGTTTTACGCATTAGACGGACATAAAATAACACCCTTTTTTTTTTTTATATCAATAGCTAACTCAAAATAAATCTTAAAAACGAGAACAATATGTTTAATTCAAATATTAGTTGTGTATCAAGGAAAATTATTAAGAAAACTATGATGAAATTGGCATCACACAGGAGAGAAGTACATCTGTCAATTGGCACAATTTAATAGGCCCCATATTCTCCTTAGTTTACCTCAAAGATACTCTGCAAAAATCAACCACCACAACACCATATTCTTAATTATATTCGCCTCACTTTCTTTTTTCCTTTAAACAAAACCCTACACTCACACTCTCTCTCTCTCTCTCTCTCTCTCTATATATATATATATATATGTATATATAAGTCATATATATTATAATTCAGAACACTTTCCATCCAATCAAGTAAAACCCCTCAAGTCTTAACCTTAACAAATATATAATAACACTAAGCTCGGCGCATCATCCTATGTATTCTCCTTAATTATATATATACACATATATAACAGGCTAAGACATTTCACTTTATAATATATTATATGTTTATATATCCTTGGATACATCAAGTATCTCTATACGTTCAACTTATATTATAACATTAATTTAACTAGTACTAGTACTAGTACTTTAAAATATTTCTGTACATTATAGAAATATTATTGTATGTTCCTGGACGTCTGACTCTTCTCCATATATCATCAACCTAACTCAAATTAACCCTTCAAACTTTCTCTCCATACTCTAATTACCTCTCTAAGTATGATCATTGTTTTCCTTGATTTTGAAAACTGACTTACAGTCTCCTGAAACCAAGCTTTCAGATGCAGCCCATAACCTTGCAGCTTCGATGGAGTTGGACCCCAATTTTGACGTCCATGTTTCATTGCAATCCGCAAAGTACTTGCCCGATGCGTTTAACAATCTCGGATGAGTTGCAACGTAACAAGTTGTAGCCGCAGCCTAATAATTAAAACATGTATATATATATATATATCATATACTAATCGTTACGTTTTCTTCTTCCTAATTGCATGAGTTTCTGGATAACCAAACAGAGAGTACTCATGAGTTGGACGTTTTATGTACCTGAGGAATTGTTTTCAAGAGCTTGGAAGCTAAGAAGAAAACCAGATCTGCATGTTGAAACATTTTTTGATCAAATGGGTGTGACATTCTTTAATCCAATAACGAAACTAAACTTGGGTTTTACTTCTTTTGATTTGATTTAATTTATAAATTTGATAACCTGTGATGAAGCCTTCGCGTTCTCGGGTGAGCCGGGTTCGAACTATACCGGGGTGAACACAATTCACAGTGACGTTAGCACCCATTTGCTGCATGAGTAAAGAAAACTAATTTTAAATAAATAAAATGATTAAAATTCTAACGAACGAATCCCAAAAAATAAAAAAGATTTTCCTTGTTTTCTTCTTTCTTTTGTCTTTAGATTGAAAAGCAACATAAAAACAACCGGACTGAGTCATTGACTGACTGACCCTGAGTCTGGAAGCGAGTTCTTTGGTATGCAAAACGTTTGCGAGCTTCGAGAGAGCGTACGCACGTGTTGAGTCGTAATAACTGCAGACAAGAAATAAAAATATATAAATAAATGAAGAAATCCAATGAAAGGTCAAACCCACGTATGGTATTAGTACTGGTACAGTTATAACATTTATTTCGTAAATGGATTTTGATTCATTCACTTTTTCCCGTAAAGCTGTTTATCATCATTCATTTACCGTTTGCTTCGGGATATCTGTTCCAGAAATCGAATCATATCGCCGGAAAACCACCCGTGAATGCTCGACGAAACGTTCACGATTCGCCCTTGAACGCCGGTATCTTCCGCCGTTTTGATCATATTCTTCAACAACAGCTTCGTTAACAGAAAATGACCTAAACATAACCAGAATTTCAGATTCACTTACCAGAGGAAACAAGGTTTAACACGATTTCTTAATAATTACCTAGATAATTCGTAGCGAAACTCATCTCGATTCCGTCTTCAGATATTGCATGTTCGTGTGCGAACTTTCCTGCGTTGTTTCTGTTTTTTTTTTTTTAAAAAAAATGAAATAGAAAATCAAGAAATCATTATGTGTACTCAAATAACCGTAAGTCGGTTGCGAATAAACCGCAAATTCAAACAATAGAAGAGAAATGGTTAAACATTCTGTTTTTTTTTCCCCTTTCCAACAGTTTGTTAGCTGCCAAAAGAAATTTAAAAACAAAAATGAAATATATTATTATCGGATTTACATGAGAAGATTGAGAGGCAAATCGAGAGATTCAAATTCGGCGACGAAGCTACGAACGGAGGTGAGAGAACTAAGATCGAGGCTCATGACGATGATCTTCGAATCGGGAAACTCGGACACGATACGCGCCTTAGCTTCTTCAGCGGCTTTGAGATTCCGAGCCGGGAGCACCAGTGTCACGCCTCGCTTGGCAAGCACCCGAGCCGTCTCTGCTCCGATCCCCGACGTGGCACCTGATGATGAGAAATTCACAAGCGAAGCACAATGTCAGTAACAACTGAGAAACCTTTGTATATCAGAAGATTGGGCGTTTTACGGATACGGCTGAATATTACCTGTGATGATGGCAGTTAAAAAGCGCAGATCGGAGCAGGAAGCGGTGACTTGTTCGGCGGTGGACTTGGAGCCGAAGCCGCTAGCGCCGGCGGAGCCGATAAGGTACTTGAATGTCTCGAGCATTTTGGTAAGTGAGGTTGTTGAGTATGGACTGTAGAGATTGTGGGTCTGGTAGTGATAGCGAATGGTTGACTTGGTTGACCGAGGAGATATACAGACGAAATTTATGGCGTGCAGGGAGTAGAGTGGGCTAGAACTAGAAAGCTCGGATATGAATGAATGGTTTGTTTGTTTGTCAGATTTTTTGTAGGCTAAGAAAAAAGGGAGGACAGATTTATGATTCAGGCTTGAGTTTGAGAGGTTAAAACCTCAAGGGCAAAAATGGGAATGAAAAAAGATGGAGAGTTGGCAATGAAATCTGATTTAGTACTGAGGGGTTTAATAATGTGGTAAAGAATCAAATCAATCAATTATTAAAGTTATATTTAGAGAGAGAGAGAGGATTAAATGTTTGTCATTGATGAAGGGGAGTTCAAATTATGTGCATGATTGGATCCAATTTTTTAAAATGTATATATTGGCCAATTAAGCATTGTTTATTTCTTAAACAAATATCATCACTTTAAAATAATTATTTTTATGCGTATGTATAATATAAAAAATAATTAAAATTTTTCACTTAAGTGCTGCTATTCAATGCAAAGGTATATGTGGTTTCTATGGTAATTTAACAAAATAAACTTAACATGCTTCTTCTAGGAAAGACATTAAAATATGGGTGTGTCCCCTTAATCGAATAATATCATTATGTACATCGATGACCTATTTTAACTAAGCTTATTAAAAAATATGGTGATCCAAACATAAGAAAAAAATTTAACATGATTTTTATTGAAAAATTCGAAGCCAAAAAACTAAATTTAAATACTAGTTGACAATCTCCCTCCATAATAATGTGAATCAATGTCATAAATCCTTCTAACTCCATTCTTATAGATGGTGGAACTTGCTTCACATTATCTTGGCATGACAATCATTTCTAGACATCAACCAAACCAAGATTTACATATATGTATATATATATATGATTAATTATAAACTCCCACCACTAGGGGGCACAAATAAGATAATAATTTTTTATTAACTAAAATTCTCAAATCTTATTTATATGCATATTATCAAAATTGTAATTTATTGCCACCAAATTCTCCGAAAAATCTTCATAACCCATACCTTTTAAAAAACTAGAACCCAAACTAATCATGAAAGAACAAAAATTGAAATCATTAAAATGGTGAAATAGGAAGATTATGAACTCATGATCCCTATACTCCTACTAAGCCAAACAAGAAAATAAACCTAAAGTAACCTCACCATCTCGAGTATAAGCTTACACTAGTCTGTGAAGAAATAATTATTTCTTTAAAGAAATAGTCAATTTTTGTGTGCCTCAAAATGAATGAAAAATTTATTTATTAACTACTAATTCCAAGTAAGAGGACTGAAAAAATTGAATCCAATACTAAGTTTGAATAAATAATTAGAGATTTTAAAAACCAAAATCAATTAAGAGGGCTACCAGTTATTGTTTCAAATGAGGATGGCATTGGCCATCACATAGTCTCCATTTAAGACCATAGTAAATAAGATCTCTATCGAAAAAATACTCCTTCAATTTAGTAAATTAGTTTACGCCTTATTTAAGCTAATAAAAAATCTCTATTTTGAAAATACTCAGTCTAAAAAGAATGAAAAGGAAAGAAATTAGAATATTATGTGACCTCCAAGCCATTCTAAGTATTAATAAGGAAGATAAAGCTATGAGTATCTTTAAATACAAAAATTTTCTGTCTTTAACTTGGAAATATTTAGATTAAACTAACTAGTAAATTCCAAATTCTTTATGTTTTTCCCTCAATTAGTACTTTAAATCAACCTTTTAATTTAAGTACAAAATTATGAGGACAAGAAGATATTGATAATATATGAGCGATTGGTTGGGCAATAAAATTCACTAATAACTCCTTCGTTGCTTTTGCAATTCTCATTAATTTCTACCTTTGTACTACTTTTGCCACTCTATCTGCCAAAATATTAAAAGTTATTTTTGCACATCCCCAATCAATACCAAAAATACTTAAGTGTTTTTCATGAGTATATACCAAACTTACCCTCAATAGCCATACTAGTTAAAAATTCACTAGTTGTTTTTGAAGATTTATTGACTATCCCAAAGATTCCTCATACTTCACGAAATTAAATCATATAGAAATCACCTCTTCAATCCTTATTTTTCTAAAAATGATACTATCATTTTTATAAAGTAAATAAGAAAACACTACTGCAATACGACAAGGTTTTATACCATGGTTCTGCAATCATATTATTTAATTCTTAGTATAGTTGAAAAATTCTCCACATATAAATAAATAAATAAAGCAATAG